TAATTGATTTTTTTCCCAATCTGTTGGAAACTCATTTTCAAAAATAACATCATTATAAATGTCTAAAAGGACTCTTAAGAATTTTTTGGGTAATCGGTTTAGAACTCGTAAGATATTTTGTTCATACATGGTGATGATTTAATATTTACATTGACTAAAGAATTAGTTACGAAAATGGGCTATCCAGGAATTCATTAGCTTCACAAATCCAAAGTCTAGGGGAGTTATCCTTAGGTAAGCGCGAACATATTTTATTAATACCAACTTTCATGTCTTGAAATGTCATCTCTGAATTAAAATCTGAAATTTTAGATCTACTTTTTTGAAACATGTTATTCTGTCCCAGATGTCACTATTTCTAGTAAGTGAAGTACAAAATGTTTTGAAGTTCTTAGATTTATCTTTGTGAAGAATGAATCTAGCATTTGCTTCCTTTTTAAAAGAATTCTACGAAGTTTTGTTTGTTACGGCACTTACGAAGGGCGGCAAGAGATTGTATTCTATCTTTGATGGCTTGTTCGCAGTTTTTATTCCACCATGGACAAGGATAGCAATTTCGGAATTGGGATGTAGAAAAGTAATTGTTCTCCGCATTTGGTATGGAGAAAATAATAGCTTCATGAATAATTTCAGTTAATATTTCATATATGTGAATTACGTTAGAATCCAAAAATTTCCGACGATTAAAAACATGATAATTAGCCATGAAAACTCTATTAAATACCTCCCAGTCAGTCTTCTTCTGCTGCATTTTTCCCTTAGGAGCTTGCCATTATCACCCTCTAGAACTCTCGGCCCTCCCAATCTCCTGGTTTCAGGCCTCTATCGTCCATAGCGTCCTGGATGAATTTTTCTCACTGGTCTTCCTCTTCTCCTCTCAGGTGGTGTTTGTGTGGCTATCTGTTTTCAGACATTCTCTGAACATGTCCATACCGTAGTAGTCCTCTACTTTCCAAGGGATTCGTAATAGAGCATATTACATTCATCTTTCTCCATATTTCTTTATTCCACACTCTGTCCTATGAGTAAGTTGTAGGCATCGTGTCATGTAGTCCATTTGTACTGTCCTAATCTTACATTTTATTTTTTGTGTTTGTGGCCACATTTCCGCTCCGTATAGTACTATATTTTCTACTACCCTGGAATATCCTTCTTTTGACATCTTGGCGGATATTGTTATTCCACAATACGCCGTGTAAAGCTTTGGTTGCTTTCTTCCCCATAATTACTTTTGAGTTAATATCTGTGGCACATGCATCCAGGTTGTTTACTAAAAATCCGAGATATTTGAAGGTGTTACAGCTTTCAATTTTGTATCCATTCACGTCTATATCCGCTATTGCTTGTCCAATGTACATACATTTAACCATTTTATATACGCCTTATTATTCTATTCAATTATTTCTTCTAAATTCTCAGACATTTTTTCCGAATATTTCCCTTTTCTTTCTTCTTTCCCAAGGGCTTCCGTAGATGCTTCCAAAATATTTCCCTTCAATTGTTGATACATTTATGTGGGGTTGTCCTCCGTTTCTGAATTTAGTTTGTTTCTCAGTCTCTTTTAGTAGAGCATTTTTACACTATACTGATTCAAGAAGTCTGTCTTGAATATCAATTCCTTGTCTATTAATATTGTCTATTTATGAAGCGGTTGTCTTTATATTCGTAAAACATACTTTTCTCACTACCATGTGATGGTTGCTGGCACATTCAGGCTGTCTACAAACACACACTTCCTTTAATAATGTTTTTCTTATCCTCTTCATTATCATTAAATCAGTAATTTATTTACGTTGTTTTGTGGTATCTTCCTGTGTATATCTATGTATGTCTTTATGTTGGAACATAGTATTTGTTACAACCAATTTTTGCTCCCTACATAGGACAATAAGTGTATTTTCATTGTCGTTACTCCAAAAGGGACAACAATCTCTTTTTTCTAATGTCCAACTCTACAATTTAAATATCTAATGGCAATTAGTTCAACTCGCTTGCTCACTTCTTCCATACTATCACCAAGCTTACCAAAGAAAGCCTCTTTTTCTTCCCTTAAAGCGTTGTTGTTAACACTATATACTCCAATGATAGTTGTACTCTGGTTCTGAAAGTGTACTTCGATTTGGATCAATCTTTCATCTATTTGTTAAAAATTTGTAATATGTTTTCTGTATACTACTAATACTTTCTTCTGTATATTACTAATAAGTATCGAGACATTGGATTTTGCATGTTTGTTTGTATGTTTGCATGTATGGTTGGGGCAGTGATTTTAGTACTCCACTCCAGATGTGATAGTAGTTTCCTAGTATCTCTTCTCCATGCCCCTCTTTTTGGTGTCAGTTAGGACTACAATTTCCAGTTTCAATTTATCTACTTCTGCCCAACTTCTACCTGTTTCGGTCTCAAACCTTGCTCATTCCATATTCCATAATGGTAATAGTTCTATTCCGCAGTCAAAGTCGTCTCCGGTTGGTTTTCCGCATCCGGGCTTTTGTATTGGGGAGAATGCACTTCAGAGATGTTTACAAAGAATGGGTTGCAAGCCCATTGCTCCAAACCCTCTTCCTTTATCCGGGATTGGGACCGGCGACGGTGGCTACTGAGCTACTGGCCCCTACCGCAGGCGGAAGGGGCGAAATATTGTCAGTCTGCTTTAAATTATATTTAAAAGTCCTAATGGATGTTTTCTCGCAATTAAATTCCAGGTTAATGATAACAGAGTAATGGTCACTTCCCAATTTGTCATCATTTACTGTCCATGAGGAGTAGAAAGCTAGATTAGGAAAAACAAATGGCAAGTTATGGCAATATGATATCATATATAGTTTAATCTAGTATTATGTGTACTCATATATAATTAATATAGTATTATATGTTAATCATATACATAGTTTATATGACATTCCATATAAACTATAAATTGTACTCGTATGTAGGAGAACCGTCATTAGGTCGAAACATAACCTGAGGATCAGAGTTGTCAAAAATAATTTCACCATTTGTACCGTTACTCTTGGTAGCCAAGGAAACGCGATGAGAGTTAAAATCACCTCCTATGACAAAGTTCTCATATTTGTAAGCTTCGTTAATAAAGGAAACCCGTACGGAGTTATTAAAATCAGATGTTGGTGATATGCAGCAAGCAACCACCAATAGAGATACATAAACTAGACAAACTTCTTCTGTTCCAACTTTTAAGGATTTGGATTTGAATTTCAGGTCACACAGACCGGAGGCTAATGCTTTCCAAACGAGGATGGCCAAACCACCTCCTTGTCACGTTTTATACAAAATGTCAGCTCCTAGACTAGTTATGGGATTTTGGGAATGATGCTTCTGCAATGCCAGTGTATTTTATTTAGATATCTAAACATAATAACGTTGATAGGTATATAAAGTTTATAAATAACACAGTAAAGGGAAAAGTAATAATATTTCAAAAAAAGAAAAGAAAAATTCAAAGTTAGATATTATTCGAATGGTAACTTCAGAAGAATTCATCATTTCTGATTCAGTATCAACATCAGCAGAATGTTCATTCGAAGAAACCATAAGCGAATCATGATGGAAAGGAGTCTGATGTATGGAAGGATGGAAGGGAGTCTTCACTCCCTTCATTATCAGTGAATACAATGTTCTTGACTTTTCTGATTGAATAAGCCTAAGTTGTTGTTCTTGATGTTGAACTCCGAGAGTAGATATCGATTTTGACTCTGGAGTAACTTTTTCACTAGCTCGGCCCGTCCTCTCCGAGCCCCATGGAGAATTCACCTCGCCACGTGAGCATTTTTGGGTTTCAATTTTGTTTTGGAAGCACAAATATTTTTAGGAACCTTAGTTGATATTTCATTACTTATTTCCTTCTTTACGGAAGACATCCTCACGTTCGAAATATTGGAGCTGCCCATTGGCTTTGTTTTTGGATAGACCGTTCTCTTGTAAGTACGGCGAATGTTTGACCTTGACCTTAACTCGGATTGCGTACCTCCAAGCGCTTAGTCCTTGTCCAACACTTCTCGCAAAGCTACTTGGTTGTTTCTCGTAGCTGCCGAAAGCGTTGGAAAGTTCTCCGGGATCGCTTCTGAATCTCAGATCCGGGATCTCGTTTGCGAATCTCTCTAGTACATAGGCTCTTCGGAATTTCGGCCTCACGTTCATCAATATTTGGCTAGCCTGTTTGAAGGAGATATTCTCTACTGCCATAATTGAAATTGCCGGTGTTGAAAATGTAGAAAAGGCAAGATCTATCAATAGATCTATGATTTTCACAACATTTTGCACATTTCACAACACTTTTGCAGCTATTTTCGTGTTGTAACTCCCTGCAAATTAAGCATCTTTGTTTCCCGTTACATGGAAAAGTTAAATGACGGCTACATTTCTAGCAGAATTTTTGTAAGGGTATGTATAGCTTAACGTTCTTTGGTACACCCTATCCCTGACCATATGTGGTAGGATTGAAAATCAGAGCCACCGTCCTGCTAGGTAATTTCACTTATTCACCTTCTACTATTTTACGTTTTTCGATTCTCCAGGCATTCACTACTTTCATTTTGTTAACGTGGTTGTTTTCGCATGCATATCGCTGGTAATGCCCGTGGGATCTAGATATAGAGGAAACTCGCTAATAGAACCTTTCCCAAGTCTTATAGTACGGTATACTGCAGGAATGCTTTCCATCTATAATATCTTTTTAAATCAGGGTATTTGCCTCTTCTCTATTAGTGAAGTTTACCTCAACTAGCCTTTTTCGGTGATGTGTTGGATTGAGCTGAATTGCTTCATCACAGTATTTCCTACAACCATTGATTATATGCGCCTGACCGATTCGAAGAAATCTTTCACTTTTACTTGAATGATCAAAGGTCCCATGATCTGAATTCCGAATTTTACTATAAGGCTTTGCGCATAATTGAATTTCACTTCTTTTGTTTAATTTTCCTTGGAGCGTTGGTATAGGACTAAGTTCATTTTCTTTTTATTTTGTGCACTGGTTTCACTACTTTCCGCTGATCTCTTTCTTTCAGGATGAGACGATTTCTCGTCGATAACCATCGGGTTCTGCACCTCTGCCATATTAGCACTTAGATCCTTTAATAATGTAACATTGTCATTGGACGACAACACGCCTTCATCATCTTCAAGTTCGCAAGGACTGATAAAATATTTTCATTTATATTCTTAACAATGTTCATTTGTCTTTAATATCGCTCGAGAAATTGTGGGCGAAAAGTAGAATTGAACTTCTTATAAAACGGAAAATGTTAGAACACTGTCACAAAACAGAAAAGTAACGTACACCAGCACCAGAACTACGCCACAAATAAACACCCGAAGGTAGTTGACTCACTGTACACTCGGGAGTGTCCACGATTCGAATCGAAGGCGGTCTATTCTAGCACGCATATCGGTACATTTTAACTGCATTCAGTACAATAGCACGAGAATTGAATTCTACCCTAAAAATGTATATCTAACGTTATGCGAAACTATGAAGGTGAGTATGGAAATATGAAGGTGAGGCCAAGTATGAAGGTGAGGCAATTTTGGAATAAAATACGCATGTTTAAAGATTGTTCGGGCCAAAATTCAAGAATCAGAAGGAAACACGAAAATAATTAAAACTATTTTAGAAACTATCGGTAATTTATGTGCCCCGCGAAAAGTTAACACAGATAGATGATGGGATAAAGATATCAAAGACAATGTGGGGAATGATGTTTCTTTTTTAAAAAATCCCTTCTCTTTCGAAGTAATAGAAATTTTTCTTAATAACGTAAATATTAAAATCATTTCCAGAATTAGATAAAAGCAATTATGAAATTACTGCAAAACTCTCTGAGTTTTATAAAATACCTCTTTTAGATGCGTTTAACGGTGCATTGAATAGTAAGGCATTCCCGGACCAATGGAAAAATATCTAGTCTTGATTATACCAAAAAGTACGAGAGACAAGGTTAGACATCACTTTGGCCTCGAGCATACTAAAAAAATGAAGAGAATGTTAAAGGAACGCTTTGAATTGTGGAGCAAAAATAATGGGGTCTTATGCAAAACTCAATTTGGCTTCCGAAAGGGGAAATCTTGTATAGATGATATGAGCATTTTATCCCTGGATGTGCAAAGTAGTTTTTACCAGAGGGAACCGGTACAAGTACTCTTTTTGAATACCTAGGGCGCGTTTGATAATGTCATTCCGGAAATTGTAATCCGGAAATTGTAAAGATTAATACATTAGGGTATACCAAGAAATTTATCTGGTTTATTATACATTTAATTTGTGAATAACAAGTTATATTCTGTACTAAGTCTAATATTATCGAAAATGTTCTTTTAAAGGGGCTCCTTCAAGGTAGGGTTTTAAGTTCGTTATTATATGCGATATATGCAAGAAAGCTAGATTCTCTTATAATTCTCTGATTCACTGATTAAATTCTAACAATTTGCCGGTGACATAGTAGTATATACTTAGAAAAAAAATCAGGTATTATGAATCAAGTTGGGCAATTAGAATATACAAACAATAACACCATCTTCTCTTTTCTGGTGAGAGTGAACTTGAAGCAGCACCGGAGAAACGTGCTGAAATTGCCTTCGATAAGATGAATAAGGCTGTTGATGGGAATGTCAGGATAAGAGTAAATAACAATATTGTTCACGTGTGTCAAAAGGTGACATTGGAGAAATGTTTTAGATTGCCGACGTAATTGGAAATACTACACCAGCAAACCATTAAATAAATGTAAATCGGCAATGAGGATTCTGAGTTGTTTGAGAAGAACTTGGTGGGATGTCAATTCCACTTCTCTATTATTAATTTGTTTTGCATTAATTAGATCTAGAATAGAGTAAGGAGGAATTTTGATGTTCCCTTCTGCAGAAAAAACGTTCGATATGCTACAGAAAATTCAATATATGCCTTTGAGACTGATCCTGGGATATCAGAATACCTCCCCAGCCAGTGTAATGGTAGCGGAATAGAAAGTTCCCTTGTTAGAAATAAGCTTATATCGAAATATCGTTTAAAAATTTCACTATTTTAAATGGTTTAGAATCAATAATGAGGGATCATTATGGGTATAAGGGATATTTTATAAATTCTCAGAAATCTGTTGAGTCAATTTCATTGTAAAGTCGTGGTACTTTGTTTCATCATTAAATCCACGACATTTCAATTGTTCATTAAAGCAACTAAAATATATTTCCAGTGAAATATAGCCTGAAATAAACACGTTTTTCTCAAAATGTATAAAATGTCACTAATACTGGTTTTTGCCCGTTCATATGTCTTCTTCTATACTTATACTGCAGAGTGTATAGCATTGAGTAAAGCTATTGAAAGTTCCATTGAAGGTAAAATGTCTCAATATTTAATATTCTCAGATTCAGGAAATGCTCTAAAAGCATTAGATAATATGAGCAATAGAATTAATTCTCCTCTCATTATTCTTATCACACAAAACGTAGCCTATTCTGAAAGTATGGCAAGCAAATTCGACTTGTGTCGAGTCCCGCACACAAAGGCATAATTGGCAATAAAAATGCTCATAGGATAGCTAAGGCAGTTGCTAAAAATGGGGTTTTGTCTGATGACCCAGTAGCTAGTCTTGCTGTATTTGCTTTTTATAAGAAAAAATGTAGAGCAGAAAATGAAGACAGACTAAATTAAAATATGAGTAGAGCGAAGATAAAGTTTTTGAACAGTTTTATTGTTAAAGCTAACAAACCATGGTTTAGGAAAGATAAACTACCCTGAATTGATGAGCTATAGAGTGCTGGAATGCTTGTGGCATATTGAGTTTGGTGAAGTCCATTAGAATAAGGAAGTAACCATGTATTCAATTCCATTTTGATAAAAACTAGACACATTTGACGATGTATTCCTTTAGTAGCACGAAAACGAAGTAATAACGCGACCAGACTTTATTTTATTTTACCTCGAGATATGACCAGCTCAGACATGAAGGAGAACTAAGGTATAGATGTGGGACAGGCATTTGTGCTAAGGGCGATAACTCAGGTCGGGAGCGAGTTGCCCGCTAGAGGCGAAGGCGCCCATGAAGAGGTTGCTGCGAGAACAGAGATGGGTAATTTGAACTCCGCATTCAGTAGAATTGCACTCGTATGAAATTCAATGCGGCTTAGTTTCTATTGTTTTAATCTAGAGATGCATCCCGTACCGGCGTGTGAAAGATAACTTATGTAATATTGATGTGGAGACAAGGCATTTGTGGAAAAGGTGATATCTCATGTCGGGGAGCAAAGATTGCGCTAGAGGGCAAGGCAGCCTATTCAGAAATTACTGCGTGCACCCCACAGGTGGGTCGATTTTAACGGCATTAAGTAGAATAGAAGGCCAATGAAATTCTGGGCGGCTAATTTCTATTGTTTTGAACCTAGGGATACTTCCAGGTAACGGCATGTGAAGGATAACTTATTCATAGATGTGGTGACAAGCGTTTGTGCAAAGGGCGATATCTCATGTCGGGGAGGAAGATTGCCACTAGATGGCGAAAGTAGCCTGTTCAGAGGTTACTGCGAGCACACAGGTGGGTCGTTTTAATTGCATTCAGTAAAATAGCACGCGAATGAAATTCTATAGAATTCTATGCGGATAGTTTCTATTGATTTTAATGTAGAGTTTCATCCGGTAACGGCTTGTGAAGGATAACTCATTCATAGATGTGGTGACAAGCATTTACGCAAAGGGTGATATCTCATGTCGGGGTACTTGATTGCCGCTAGAGGGCGAAGTCGGCCATTTCAGAGGTTGCTGCGAGCACACAGATGGATCGTTAAAACTGCATTCAGTAGAATAGCTCGAGTATGAAATTCTAGGTGGCTAGTTTCAATTGTTTTTAATGCAGAGATTCATCTGGTAACGACATGTGAAGAACTTATGTATAGATGTGAGACAGCGATTTGTGCAACTATCTACTCTGATGGGAAGTTAATTAGGCGCTGGAGTGGAAGGTGGGCTATTCAGAAATAGCTGCGAGGTCGCAGATCATTACCTTTGAGTTGGATTTGCGAAGGAATGAAAATATTTCCCAGTTTAGTTTTCTTACTGTGCCAAAAATCGGGTACATTCTGTGAAGTGGGAACTTAGACGATTCAGTTAGATGATGGAGGCATTGACTTTTTGGAGTGCCGATTTTTCTATCCAGACATTGCTGGGAGTGCGTGAAGGCGACATCTCTGAAGTGGATATGGAAAATACGATAGAATTAAACTTCCCTCCGGGAACGAAGCAAGAGAAGAATACTTTGTTGTCCAGTTTCTTCTTATCTTACTGTACAGAGACGAATAATTGTGTTTTGCGACACCCAATTTCTCCGTAGGCAACCAATTTGCGTGGAAAAGACGATTATTCAACTCCGGGTTTAAAATATCCTCCAGAGGACGATAACGCCCTATTCAGAAATGTCTTGTTAAGCAATGGATTCGAACCGGATTTTGGAGAGGATTTGGATAAAATTATTTGTGTAGTATTTTTTTAAATTTTTCTTCCTGTTTATATGTTAGGAGAACATGGGAGTATCTACATAGAAGAACAATCAACGGTGATGTGAATATGTTACTTTATGCGTAGAGTCATCTTCTCACTTGGGAAGGGAAATTGCCATTAGAAAGTAAAGGCCATTCCTCTGAGGTGGCTACTAGTGCCAAAATAATTGGAATTAACCTGCACCCAGAGAAGAAGCGAAGAAAAAAGTATTTCATCGGATAGTTTCTTGTTTTGCTTTATCGATACGTCGGTTAAGTCCCTATGAAGGCGAGTTTTGTGCGGCTTTGCATCTCTTTATGTTGGTGACGGCTGTAGCGCCGTTACTCTCCCGGAAAAGGAAATCCTTCCTCTACGACGGAGTCAAGTCATCAGTTAGAACGTTAAGTAGCATCTTCCTACAATTTAAATATTGAACTCACACTTTAAAAACATATTATTTCTTTTTACTCGACAGAACAGTCTTTCAGGGGTTTTAACAACACATAAAATTAGTAAAAGACATTTTTGGATTGGCCATCCATAAGTTGTGAGCGGTTTGTATTATGACTTAATTATTTATTTCGTTTAATTGTTGAATAAAAAGGGGAGAGTTAGCCTGTTATGTTAAGTAGATAAGGGTGTTATGATTTACGGTGGTTTGAATCTATCTTTGAGAAACCTTAACTTTATGCATGGATAGACTATTAAACTCACACCGTGACCAGATGCAAGCAACAGCCGCTGAAAACGTTTTTAACGTCGTTCTATGCTCTTTAGGCACACAAATCGTGTTGCGGGGTATTGTGGATGTGCATTTATCAGTTTGAACTACGTGTTGCGAACCCATATGGTGCGCTCAAAAACCAGTGGGCGGCACTAGTTTTCCACACAGCGCATTAATATAACAACGTCGTCTGCACGAAATATATTGCGTGTGTAGAGGACGTTTCATCAGTAGCCCTGAACTTCGAACCAGGGCATCTGCCGCTACGTACATCATGAAGTACAGGTTTGAATGAAGGAGAGTAAATGAACATAGCTTTGTTCTTCTTCGCCGTCTCTTTTCTCTTTTCTCTCTCGGTATCTGACGCGTCCACATTTTCTATTCATTTCTCCCCGAACATGAAAAATCCCACCTAATTACTAACCCCGATTCACGCATCGCGTGACGGGAGCGAGGGATGTTAGAAATCTTGAGAGCCCTTTCATCAATAGCAATCTAACAATGCCCCCAATATGCTCTATTATATAATAATTGCTCCAATATAAAATGTTGATAATTTTGAATGACAGCATGGATATCAATTAAGAATTATGGTACTGTAAAGTATGGTAATGTAGCTGGTCCCCAATCTTATTGTTAAGTAACGCCATCTATTTTTGACTTTAATTATCATAAATTTTTATTACAAATACAAATAAAATTCCGAGGCACTTTTTACTATTATATCATTTATGTTTACTTCTTATAAATGGAGACGGGGTGTTGTCACAATTTTAGTTATTTATGTCATTACTTTTCAATGTTAAGGCGCGCGTTACAGTTCGTTAGAGGAGGCAAATACTCCATATTTGCGTTACGTATTGCACGGCTTTTATCAGAAATTTCCTGACTTATTTCCTTCTGTCGAAAATTGTCGCTAATCTTACTGTTATGTGCATTTAGTATCGCCAACTAATTCTAACTTTAATTATCTAAAATATTAATATCAACACAAACAGAATTAATAAATATTATTTATACTGTTATATAATTTATTTTGGCTTGTTGGAAATGGGGAGGAGTTGTTTCAGCGTTAATTATTTATAGGGGACTCAAGTGCGCATTACAAGAGAATTCAAAATTCTCCAAATTTGCATTACGTCATTACACCTATACTCACATTTCAACATAATGGCACTTCAAGGTTACGATATAAACGGAGGGGGGGATACTGTCATCCAATCGAAGCTTTGGAATCCCATCCAATCGAGAAGCATCTTTACAACATAAATTTTTGGTACTGGAGCTTCCGACTGAATGAAAAAAACAAAAAACATTTCGTTCCTCGTGACCGTCAAGTGCTACTACGTTTAAATCTAGATGGGGACGTGAGTGGCGGGGGCGTGTGGGCAGGGTCGCCGCGGCGAGCGGAGCGAGGCGGCACCATGGGCAAGAAGGGCAAAGGCAGCCGGCTGGCGCGCATGACGGAGGAGGAGCGCGCGCGCTACATGCAGCACCGCGCCGCGCTCGAGGAGGAGGCGCGCCGTCGCAAGCAACAGTTGGTGGCGACCTTCATGCGCAACAAGCTGCGCCACGAGGACGCCTTCACGCGCCTCAACGCCGCCAAGATCAACCAGCAGTGGCGCGCGCTGCTGCGCCAGGCCAAGGCGCACGAGCTGCACACGGAGCTGCGCGCCGCCAGGGACGCCTTCCAGGTACGAACGCCACGGCGATGGACACGCTTTCAAAACTCCGACGATTTCATTCAAATATTGATGATTAAACATTATTCCTTCTAGTTCGACAGGTTTTGTTTTTTTCAGGAGGTTAATTATACAGTACAGACTTTTTAGCTTTTTGGGAGTGACAGCAGTGGTTTTTATTACCCGGAAGAACATTGTGGTAGGTTAAATTAAACAACGACAAGAATGTTTCAGTTTTTAGGTTAATTGACTGTTAATTTACGGTGGTTTAAATCCATTTTTGGGATACCTGGATTTGATATGCAGCATTGCGACCTAGATATCGATGTTATAAACATCTATATATTAATAAAAATATTTTTTAAGTTCGATGTTTTTGCGTTTTTGATGGCTTATTTATGAATAAGAAATTCCAACTTCACAATTGAGTAGAAGATAAAGTATTAAATAATAAAGGATTGCAGAATATTGGCCAAACTGAGGGCCGACCCTTTGCGACGGTCGCACAGGCTTTTAGGCGAAGTTTTGGCTATAGTTATTATTGTTTTTAACTTTGTTTTCAGTTGCGTCTTAATTTTAAAATATTAAATACTACCGTTGTCAAATGAAATTATTTAGCGTACGAAGTTAATGTAATAGTTTTCTAAATCAGTTTTAAAATTTCGATGGTTTTTAGGTTGATATATTATTAAAATCGATATTTTTATTTTGTAAATAAATATTAAGTAAAATCGATGTTTTGTAATCGATGTTGCCCTACGACTTCGAGGTACGTTGCAGGAATGCGCATTTAACAGTTTGTAAGTCCCTAGATACAGAGCCCCTAGATAAAGATGTAGTCATTAGTTGCAGAGAGTAGCGCAACGCCCTTCCCGTAGAACGTGAGGTCCGGCACCTATAGGCTTATGGAGTTTTTCATCTCCAGGTATCTGTCCTCCGGCAAAGTACTTCCCCAGCCGGTACACACTCAAGACTTCTGACTTGTCTTCCGACATGAGTGGTAGAGCAGGGCATGTAAGTGTGAGTGTCAGGGGAGAGGAAGGGACACGGACGAGGAATGTAAGATCGTGCGCTCTCCGTAACCCTTCGCGACTGCGATTGATCCTGCAGAGGAACCAGAGAAAAACGGTCTAACCGGATCGAATTTCCATCCTCGACTACGTCGTATGGTGAAGCACCGCGCGTCTTGTTCCAGGGGACGCTCGCGCGCCAGGACGAGACAGTGCGCCAGCTGCAGGCTGATCTGCGCACCGCCGAGGCGCAGTACGCTCGCGGCCTGCAGTCGCACGCCACCGCGGTGGACACGCTCATCGGTGGGTGCCGCGCCCTTCCCCCCCTCTCTCTCTATCTACAATCTATCTATCTACTATCTATCTATCTATCTATCTATCTATCTATCTATCTATCTATCTATCTATCTATCTATCTATCTATCTACAATCTATCTATCTATCTATCTACTATCTATCTATCTATCTATCTATCTATCTATCTATCTATCTATATATCTACTATCTATCTATCTATCTCTCTATCTCCTTCTATTTCCTCCTTTCTGTTTGATTGATGGTCCGGGAGCGTCAACTGCTATGGTCATTAGACCCCTTAAGTGTAGGAAATGTTTTATCGCGGGAGGGGAATGGGAAGGTGGCGGAATAATCAGACTGAAAGCGCACATGGAGGGGCAACTAGAACTACAAGTGGTGAACGACACACTCAGTGTTTGACGAGGAAATACAAAGATTGCGGATTTGGTGAAATTACTATTTCATTTATGATGTATGTACTCGTATAATATTTTATGTTATTTATATATTGACAGTTTACCCCATTTTTAACCCAATATTTTCACTCGATCCTTTTCAAACTAACGATGGATTATCAAATTTTTCTACCGGAGGTAATTTCAGATTTAAATACTCGCAAGTCTATGTACAAAAGAAGATTTAATAAGAGGTTAAATATTCATGATTTTTCCGCCAAATATGCAAAAACATATTGTTGATAAATGTTTAACAAAACCAAAATTACTTCAATGCATTGACCATATCATAATATCATTTTATAAGTGATATATCAAACAAAAGGTCTTGTAAATAAAAAAAAATGGTCAAGCCTACGTATAAAGTAATATAGAATACGTCCGTGAGTATGATCCGTGCCCATAGCGGGAAGAATTTGGGGAGTATCTTTGACGCGGAGTGTACGTGGCGAGGCGTATCTGAGATGGGAAGTAGTCGTGGAGAGGAGCATTCGTAGGGCAAAGGCAAAGGCCCAGGCGGAGGGAATCCTTGGCCGGGATTGCGCTTAGCGAAATGCGCGTGGCGAGGGTGCCCGCGTGAGTAACTGCGCCTGCCGGCCTGCGCGCGCAGCGCTGCACGAGCTGCGCCTGGAGGAGCAGCACGAGCGCTACCGCGCGGCGCGCGAGGAGGCGCTGGCGAAGGCGGAGGCGCGGGCGGCGGGGCTGCGCGACGCGTCGGAGCGCGCCAACATGCAGCTGCGCGTCGCCACCTTCCTCAACGCCAAGGAGCTGCACGCCTTCCGCCAGGAGCGCACCGCGCTGCACCGCGACGCCGCCGACGAGCTGCGACACACCGTGAGTGCTCCCGAGCGCCGTTGCCATCGCTTCCTCCGCCTCTATCGGCGTCGCTACTGCTGCCACTGTTGCCTCCGCTACCGCCACCGCTGCCGCCACCGCTACCGCTGCCGCTACCACTGCCGCTACAGCCACCTCTACCGCTGCCGCCGTCACTATCACTGCCACTGCCGCTTCCGCTACTGCTGCTGGTAGCGCTGTTACTACTGCCGCCACTCCCGCTGCCGCTCCCACCACCGCTACCGCCTACCGCTGCCGCTATCGCTCCCACCACCGTTACCGCTACCGCTGCTATTATCGCTGCTATTAACGCTACCGTTATCGCTGCCGCTTCCGCCGATGTTGCCGGAGCTGCCGTTATCATCGCCGCTACCGCGAGAGCCGCCGTAGCCGCTACCGCCACTGCTCCCGTAGCCTCTATCGCCGTGCGCACCGCCTCTGCCACTGCCACTACCGCTACCGACACGTGTTACTCCCTCACCATCAACATCGACACTTGTTACTTGACGTTGCCACAGCCTCCACCAGCACGGTCGCCGACATGGTTACTGCTGCCACAGCCGTCGCTGCCGACATTGGTACTGCCGACGACTCTCACCTACTCTTTCCGCCTCCAGCTCCTTTACTTCCACAATTACACTTCTACCATTTATTTCATTCATCACCTACAACCCCTTCCACCGTTTTCGTTTCCCTCTTCTCAACAACTCCACCATTACCATTCACTTCTCCACCTTCAAGCCTAAATGATGCCTCTGAGCTAAATTCAAAATCGCCTGTTTCTCGCCCAAGGAATGCCTCCTTTCTCTGCTAGCTGATGAAAAGGAGCGTAGCGAAATTTTGCCGTGGTCAGACGGAACCAGCGGGCTTGATGGCCTGAGTCTCGTCACGTAAAATATGACCAATTCAATTCAATCACCATAACCATCAACATCACCAAATATTCACTTTCATTATTCATCTCCAAAACCATATGGCAACATAGCGTTTTCATTTTATCTGTGACCAATACTTGTTTTACGATTCACGAGTAGGGAAGTGATCACTATGAATCAGATTGTAAGTGAGGATAGGAAATAGTTTTCTTGTTTGACAAACACGGATTGGTGGAATCATGCCATAGTAGCTTTTTTATATTATTTGGTTTGCGCTATACTATAGTGATGGCAAATGGCATAGGTTTTCACATGTGGTTCAATCGAGGTTACTGTAGCAATTTTTGCAGTAGATGTTGTACGCATTTCTTAATCTCAATCTTCTAGTACTATTTTACAGTAGAAATTCGAATTACGTGGATTCATTGAGTAAGTTTTCTTTTGAAAGGTTCTTAAAATAAATTCAATCGTAAGGATATTGTAGAAAATAAGCTTTTTATTATATGTTTTCTAATGTATCTTTTGCTGAGTTGTGATTCATGGAGAGCAATTGATTTTGGGGAAGAAAAACAGCGTATAGCTTTTAGTGCCATTATGAAAAGTGGATATTGAAACAACAAAAAGTGAAGGCTCCTTTCCCAGAGTTATGTTTTTAGAACGGCTGACAACGTAGTTTGCTTTCCTAATTCAATCGTTATGGAAATCAGAAGAGCGTTTTCAACAGAGAGACGCATTTATTCTGTTTTAATGAAGTCTCTCGTGGAGTGTTATTTCTATGTCTGATAGTAGAACACTTCAAAGTTTCATTCAGTTTGAAATTTATCATTGCAAGGAATTATTAACTATGGTTGCAGTACTTGTAACATACAGAATAATGTTTTTAAACCATAGGTAAACGAATGTTCCTTTTGATTAAAACTTTTGTAGAAATGAAAATATAAGTAGATGTTGCTGGTAGAAGTCTTGAATAATTTGATGATCTTGTTGATGAACAATAAAATTGTTACTAAAAATTAAAAAAATACATGAATCAATCAAATATTTAAAATTGTACAATTACAAAAACAAACGTAACAAAAACAGTTTATCCTATTAGTGTGCGATCTGCTGAAACCTAAATGCATATTAATACTCGGGTTAAGATAGTGATTATTAATAATTTATTTACCTCACATTCCTCTCATCTAATGAATCAGTAAGGTAATAATATATCATATAAAATTAAGCAATTCATATATTTAAGAAAAACAAAACAATATTTCTTTGCGTTAGTACCGAACTTTTTAAACTGTTCGATGTTTATTAGTTTTCACTTAGGATGCAAGGTATGAGGTAAATTTCTTTCTTATTTCTTTCTCTCGTATCAGAAACAATGATTATAATCTACTTCAAATATTAATTTTCAGTATCAAAATTTTCTATTATTGGACACGAAATATTTTGTTGGAATTGACATACGAGACTGGTAGTTCCCTTGTTGGAACCAAACACCAGGGAATCAGACGAAAGGTGGAACGAACCTTTAATGAAAAAATCAGATCTCCCCACTCGCATAATAGTTTCCCAATTTCTCAAGAAATGAACTCTGATTTACTTTTAATCTTGAAGCGACTGTTCGATTAAGATTAAAGTATTGATAGACCAAATCCATTCCAGGAGGAACGTTATTACAATTTTAAATTAAGATATCTGCACTGTAATTTGATGACAGATTTAATATCAGATTACTCAAAAAGGTTATTAGAATACTCAATACATCTTTGTATTATAAATTATAAAAATTGAAATTTATCGACCCAAATACGGAAATGTGAAACAAATGGAACAAATTAATGTGTTTTGCATTTGTTCTGCAGAGCTTCTTGATCCCAACTCTAGTTATCTACACATGATCGCATTGTTTGGGCCAATTGAGTTCTTTTTTGACTCATTGAAACTCAAGGGAATGTTGAGATGAATCTTTGCTGTAGGACAAACGTCAACCCAAACCTCATATGCGGTTAAATTTAATTTAATAATTATGTGTATAATATTAACACACATTCAAATGAAAGTGTGAATTTTACGTAATCATACATAAATAAATAAAATTATTGTGATTACAACACAATTAATAATGCACAAAGAAAAATATAACCCAAATAATTACATTCTGTTAATACTATTTCTTCAATTACAAATATCAACAATATAACTACATATCTGCATTCTTGAACTTACATTCTTGACCATAGAATATGTGTTGAATATATTTGTCTTCTGAATGTTAATAGTTTTAGTTTTATTAATGTCCAGTTTCTCCTGTGACTTCAGAGTTCATGGTACTTCTCGGTATGTCGTCAGTGGCATATCATAAGTATTGGTTTCGCATCTCGCAGATACTTTCCCCCTTTACAGTATGGACACATTTTCTGTATTTTTCCAACTTCGTCTCGAAGCCTCTCATGATGTTAGTAGTATCTTATCACATATGATATCTGTTCTGTTTTGATGTACGGTCAGGATGTAACCCGTCTATTCCGTCTGTTTGTCCGACAGTCTGTTTGCCTGTGTGGCCAACGCAAACGCCTAAACTGTTCAGATAATTTTCTCCAAAACTAATATTCCTTTTTAATATTGCCCGAGGCCATACGAATTTGAAACAGGTATTTTGATTTTGGGAGTAATTTACATTAAATTTTAACATAAGGAGAATATTCTCAAAAATGGATCCAAATTTTTTGATTATTTTTTCCCTCGTATAGAGGGAATACTTAATAAATTAGCACATATCTCAGTTTCGTTGAACACTCTGAAGTTTCAAAAATTGCAAAAATTGTAAAAATTGTAACTTTTTTCGGTACAATATTATAGAAAGATTTTATCCTGAATAAAATCTATGCTTCAAAGAAATCTTGAAATAAGATCATGCACAATGTTTTGACATTATGAGTTATTTTTGCTTCATTTTGTGTTAAATATACATAGTCAAGTTTTAAACATTTATTTTCTCAAAAAAACGGCTCCAAATTTTCTTTTTTATGTTTTTCTTCTTGCGTAGAGGATAATAAGCTTAGAAATTTGGCACAGTTCTAATTTTCGTTAAACTTTCCGAATTTTCGACAATGGAAATAGAAATAATGTGAGAAAGTATGTGCTGTTGTAGCGTCCCAACTCTTTTTTTCCTTGGTACTATATGTATATTTTAACCCATAAGCATGAACCCTATACGCAGAAACAACGGGCACTCTAACCGTTGCAAAGATAAATCTTAAAGAGCTGCATAAGCAGTTCCCAGCTATGCAAATCGAAATTACACATATTAGAAATTGCATTTACACTGGTCGGCGCAGTTTTATCGATCCCAATAAATCAGATCGTATCCTTAATTAATAAGGAGTACAAAAAACAATTTCTCATTCAAGTCCCCAAATTACATTTTATTAAATTATTATTATATTATGAAATATACGAAATACTTCAACGAAATTATGATTTTTATTACTTTCCCCTTAATGAAGTTCTGAAATATTATCTTTGATTATTAATATTACTCAGCAGCATCGTCTTTTTCTGCAGAGTCTATCCATCCTTTCAACAAAAACTTTCAATTCGCTACGTATAAAGGCCCTCTTACATGGTACAGTTATCGAGCAGACTCTCATGCGGAAACTGTACAGAAACTTCAAGACCCCAAAGTAGAAGAATAACAGCCATGGTTAACAGTCAAGGGTAGCAGCCAAGGTGTTTACATGGTCTACACGTTTTCTGTACGATTTACCACTATACGCCGCCAGGGACTCTGCCGTCACACAAATGAATTCCTGAATTGTGCCGTCGGAATACATTCTGAGTTACTTCATTAATACAGTGCGTCAGGAAAGTCTCTCTGCAGGGATCCGAATCAGGGCCTCCTATTAAAAATTACATTTATGTTAGTAGAAACGAGGTCACTGGAAAACAAGTGCAGGGGACAACACTTCCAGCATCTATTATGATTGTGGTGAGTACTCAATTTACGTTTTCAACCTGCAGCTCGTGCTGCCAACAGAATTTCTGTTACAAGCACTCTCGCCAGCAACGTGCTACTATGGGGAGATTTTGGCGCTCTATACTTCAATAGTATAGTAGACTTAGGTATTAAAAAACGTAGTACTAGTATAGTAGACTTAGGTATTAAAAACGTTCTGAATGTAACGAGTCTTGGCTGCAGAAGTGAGATTCAATAACCTCAAGTTTGCAAGAAGCAGTGAAATAAACTCCCTAGAAAAGCCGAGAATTCGAATCCGCCAATGCACAAAATATCACGAATCGCACCTAACGTAACCACAAAATTGGAAAGGATGGACAATTTTCGCCATAGAGAAAGTAGTTAGTGAACGAGTCCGGGGCTAGAAGCGCTTGACTCAAACTGCACATTTGTGTACAAAAATTTCGAATATACTCAACAGTTTTCATGCAGAAACCGAGCAGTCTAGACTGCGCACTTTTTGTACGTGCGATCTGCACGCAAACTGTGTCGAGTAAAACAGAGAGAAGAAGGAAGTCTGGTAAACTGCGTTCTCCGTCGGCAGCTGATGGCGGAGCTGGAGGGGATGGTGGCGGGCGGCGACTGGGCGATGGAGCGGCTGTGGCGGCAGCTGCGCCAGACGCTGCGCGGCTACGCCTCCGCCACCGACGACCGCCGCGTGCAGTTGGTGCACCTGCTGCAGCGCGACGCCGACGACGCCCAGGCCGTGCGCGCCATCGACCAGCGCGCCTCGCAGCTCGAGGTACAGACCGGCACGCGCCAGCTTTCCTCAGCCCCGCTCTCCTTCAGGAGCGAGGTTTAATTCTGGTCTCGGGAAATACTCAGGTTTAGTCCCGTAAATGTAGTGCATGGAATATCCGGGGATGTGTCGCAGCTGAAACGTGAGATCTGGCATCTATCTGCACGGTCGCTTGTAGGTTTCCCCATCCAGGTATCTGCCCCGGTACACTGTCTCTCCCGGGACTATCTCTAAGATCCTGACTAGACTTCCGATATTGTGTGATAGTATAGACATGTAAGTGTGTGTTTGTGTGTGTGTATGTGAAAAAAAATATTAATCTTTATTGCTTATGTTGTTCTGCAACACAATCGCACCTCGTATGATATCATTCCTTCGTAAGTTGCAACGTAAGTTGATCCGTGAATGGGGGGGGGGAGGCAGATGAAGGAATAAGACCAGACAACATATGTCGAGAAATTATTTATAAAATATTTTATAAATATAAAACACTCGACAGTGAATAAAACAAAAAATACAAGTTAACATTTTATAATATATATTACAAAATCATAAAATGTTAATACTTATCTTGTCACCACGTTTTCAATTACTTCAGATTAAAAAAACAAACAGTGTAGAACACTTGCAGACGATTTAGCACACATGCAATTTTTTTTAGTACACAGTAACTTGATGTCCTAACCACTGACATTTTAATGTTAATTCGTTATACTTGTTTGGGGCAAATGTATAAAAAATGTAGTGTTTTTATGAAATTGTACTTACATTTTAAATCCTTGATGCTTATTTCCTTCCAATTTTAATTTTAAATCATTAATTGGCCATTTTAAGGTTATTGAAATTACTTACCTTTGCAATTTAGTTTTAAGGAGAAACTGTTATATATATTCTATTTTTAATTTATTTCTTTAGTTTATGTAATTACTGTATTCATAATTTCCCTGCCTCTTTTCTTATAATGCTAAATGGTATGGTGTTTGAATGTAATTATACAAGTTCGAAGAGTTATTCTGTGTGTACCCTGAGTTAACACTCGACCAGGCAAGTGAATGCAAATCAATAAGAAAATAGCGCCTGCTGGTAGGCAACCAGCAATGAAGCATCGGCATAGGTGGCTCGGGGCCTCAAATGATGATATTGCAGTGCCTCTGACCCTGAAGTCGTAGTGTTTAAGTTCCGACTGTGGCTGGATTTTAAGCACTACCTACATAGCTAGAACAAATTCAGCTGCTCTCTCAAGGAAAATTCTACCAGCCGGCTGCTTTGACCGGTAGTTGGCTGTTCCTTCGATCTCGATGAGGTGAATGCCGGGGCTGTACCCTAACAAACGGGCTATGGACCACGCAAGCTTTCTTTCCTTTTTCTTATCCGTTACTCACCTATCTACACACACCATTACATGCACGATACTACTACACATGTCGTATAACCAGACGGGACATTACAGCGTAATTAGGGTGCGGCGATGCTCGGTTGGTGCGAGATACCTGATTTGTGAAAACCCCGCGAGCCGACGATCGGCGCCAAATCTCACCATAGGGCTGAGGAAGATCACCACCACCCGTTATAAAAAAGTACTAGACTTATGGTACTAACGACCATCGCAGTTGACGCGCCCGGAAACACGAAATAATCAATCAATCAAACAGTGACGCGAACGCGGGGGGGGGGTGCCGTGCGCAGGAGCAGGCGGAGGCGCTGCGCCGGCGGCTGCGCGAGCTGACGCAGGGAGCCAAGGGCGAGGCGCAGCGCCTGCAGAAGGAGCGCGCGCAGCTGGCGGCCGCGCAGAACGAGCTGCGCTCGGGCATGCTGCGCGCCGCCGCCGCCGACCGCCGCCGCCTCGAGACCCTCACCACCAGCAGCTGCGCCGCCGTCGAGGTGAGCTCTGCTCCGCGGCGCCAGGCCACCGGAAGCTCGACCCCTCCGGAACGACAAGGTTGCGGCTGGCTTTTCAGTTGCTTCGAGATAATCGATCTCAAACTTTCATTAACTAAATATTCAAAAATTTGTAGCCGTTTCTGAGAAAATTTGGTTTTTGTAATTTTTTAAAATTGCAAATGAAATAACTAATTATCGAGGACAGACTTTATTTGAAAAAAAAATCTCTATTTTGAATTTTGTTGTTGTAAGAACACGCCCCAAAAAATTTAAAATTTGGAAATTATCGATAATTCAGAATTAAACCTGAAAAATCGAACCTATGTCAAATTTATAAGTGTGTTTTACTTTATTCTTACAAGAAATTTCAAAAAAAAAAAATTGGAGCCGTTTTTGAGAAAATGTTGAAAATGTCGGGGAGGGTTCATGTAAAAATATCTCCAAATTTTAGACATTTTTTCAAAATCCGCGCAATATCTGGTGCCTCGAGTGGAGTCAGATCTACCGTGCAATATCCATTTTGGAAAATATCGTTCATATGGTTTAGTCGCTAGTGGTGTTTACAAAATGAGTCATAAAAAATCGTTAACTCATTATTCAGTCGTTAACCCATCATTCAAAAACTCTCCAACTACAGTAGTGATTTTTTACAAAAGCTGTAATCAGTCATCTCGCCACTCTTAGAAGTGATTTTTTACAGAAGCTATTTCCGACATATTCTTCTTATAGAACCTTACCATTCCAACAAACTATTTTTTCGATTTCATAAGTTGCAACCTTGTCATTCCAAAGGGACTATCTGTCTTAATTTCTGAAATCTTTGTCATAAGCGACTTTGAATCCATTCGTCTCTATTAGAAAGTACTTGCGTGGCGAGAAATATGAAGTCGAAATATGTAAATATTGTCAAAAAGCCGTAACGGATCTTCGTGCCACATGAGAAGCGAGGGAATAATGAAAAATCTAGATAAATGGATACCCAAATTGCAATTTGCCTCCTTATACCAAAATTGCAATGTCTTTAAAATTTTGCGTGTCGTACAGTTGAAAAAAGTAAAACCACAAACTACTTAGAACAGGAAGAAACTGAAAATGTTGAAACGCTTTTAATAAATATCTGTGTATCTTCTGACTCGATTGAAAAATCTTATTTTATCATACGATTATGTAATATTTTTGTTAATATCTCTAAAGAAAAATGTAGCCACGTTGTAAAAATGTCGTACTAAATAACTCCTCAATTTTACAATTAAACAATATTACCTACATTCGTTAGCTCAGGTATGCCTTTGTAAGGCAATTATTGTCACTCATAGATTAGTAAGTTTAGCTTTTTGTGCCAATCAAGTATATTAGACAGTGAGCTTGTAAACTCCACAGGACAGACAGTCCTGTGAGCTTGTAAACTCCTCTAGATGTTTTTCTTTTAGTAATATTCCATAGTGATTTGAAGAAAATTGCGCGAAAACAGGCGATATTTGAAGCCCGAAGTAGATTAACCGGACACTTTTTACACTAATGTAAGTAATGTATTTGCAACCAAATTTAAAATAAATTTTAAACATTTCATAGTGAAACATTTATTTAATACTTTCATTTAAAAAAGTAATCTAAAGTAAGCCGATTGGAAAGTACTTCAGGAAAGACAATTGTTGGCTTCAGAAGGGGTTGAAAGCGAAATGCTATCGGTCTACACCACCTTTTGTCCTGATGATATTCACAAACTCCCACACGATGTAATGTGGTTTATAACATAGAATGTTATGAAACCATAAAAAATATTTTTGTTATCGAATTAATAAATTTGTGTTTATAAAAGTTTCTGGAAATGCAACTGAGTTTTTAATAAATTTGTTATGAATATAGAAATTTTAAAAATTCTGTTTATTAGAATCAATCATGTTTAAAAAACATAAATATAATATAGAGGGAAAATACTTTTGGGAAATTTTCATGACTTTTTTCATTTTAGGGACACACATGTTCATAGTCTAAAATTTCCTATATTATCTACCATTGAAATTCTATCATTAACGTGCGTATAGTTTCACTTGCAAATACATTTCTTGTGCCACAAAACATGTTTGTGCACCTCAACAAGCGACAGAGCCCTCTCTGAAAAACGAGGGTTTAATACGGATGGAATATTTAACCTTTTTGTTGGGTGCTTGTTGGAAACTCCTTTAATATGTGCGCCTGTTGTGTACATAAACGGTTGGGAGCATAGGGGAGCAGGAACAATAAGAAAACTCACGAGGCATGTTGCTGACACACACAAAAAATTTATTTACAAACAGTAGCAAGAACATACAGGACGCGTTCGCTCTGATATGTCGTGATAGGCGAGGAGAGAGAGACAAGGAGTGGTGAAGGGAGAGAGGCAGACACGAGAAGAGACACAGAGTGGAGTGGTTGAAAATTACCACGCCTTCGCGAGCTTACGCTAGCGAGAGAAACTGCTTTAACACACAGCACGAGAATTGCACAGAAACTAGTCACTGGACAGAACATTCTGCCTCATCAAAAACGTCTGTCCTCAGCAGTTCAATAGAGCACACTGTACGGCGGCCATTTACTGGTCCATGGAGTATAATGCTGTGAAACACGACATTTAACATGCGCTTGATCATCCTTTTCGTAGCCGTTTTAAGGAAATACATAGTTTTTTTTGGCGTAGTCTTTCACTGTTTGACTCGTGAAATTTCCAGAGCAATTTGGCGAGTACGCGTCTCTTATAACTTTGAGACAAGAAATCTATGCGACACTCGCCAATATAACTCCTTATACCCACAAAAATACTGCATGATTTCATGAAATATTGCTTCCTTTTTCCATTTTTACTTTGTCAAATCCTTTGTCACTCATAACGTTATAAAATTCTGACAAGGAACATAGAGTACATTTTACATAATTAGACATATACACACACGTACCTCGTTCACAAGTTTTAGTGCTTTGCTACAATGTCTGTAGATATCTGCGTGATATACTATTTTCTTTTGCATCGAAAATAGTGAATGAGTATCCTTCCTGCATCGTGTTCACGAAGAGTTTTTCTGATTCATCGTCGTCACATCGAACTTTAGGTTAAGTAGTTTTATGGTAAATATAGTAAATGTGATGTGTTTAGTTCACCACTTCAAAATTTGTACGTTTATTCTTGGCCGCACTACTTTCTGTCTTCCATTATTTTTTTTTCTAAATCGGCATGTATATATTTTATTTTTTGTCGTGGCTTGGATGTAATGCTGCAACTCATGAGGCTCCAAAACCGACTTGCGGACTGTAATCTCACAGGTGCGAAATATTAACAACGAAATATAACTGTTTGCCAACTCGTGAAAATTGAATTGCTTTGCAGAAGCGGAATGTAGCCAACGATATGTTCTTTAGTTGTAAATAATGTACTTCTAATTCCTCAATAATTTATACATATAATAACTTTTTATTTGTTTAGCACATGACAGTTCTGAAAGAATTAAGAATTCTTTGGTAGCTCCGTGACCTGTCAAGCATTTCTGCGGACAACATTTCAGATAGAGAAATTAGTTGATGTCAATAAAGTTAACATATTTCTTAGTAAATTTTCCCTTATCATTTCACAATAATACAAAAATAAAAGCTATTTAAAAATGAAAAAAGCCAAAACTAAGGTGGTTTCATTTTTAATAAAAAAATATTTATTCTAGTTTTACTTCCTCGCACACAAACGTGCCAAATAATTATATTCTTCATTAACATAATCGTTTTTAATTAAAATGCCTGAAATAATGCCGATCATTTTGCAAGGCCGAGCCGGTGAGGAGGTTGAAACCGCATCCAAACGCTGGCGGCATCTGGCGGAGGGCTAGCGCACTAGCGGAGGCGCCGGGGCGCATGCGCAGGAGCTGCGGCGAGCCGAGGCGAAGGCGGCGCGCGTGCTGACGCTGGGGTCGCTGTGCCGCCGCCTGGAGACGCAGAGGGAGAAGGTGCTGCCCTGGGGGTTGCCCGCCGACGACGCCGGCGCCGAAACGCCCCCGCACAAGCAGCTGAGCTTCTTCCTCGACATCAAGGTGGGCGCTGCAACACACGACGGGAGGTTTTGAAACGGACCCAATGAACCATTGACATAAAAAAGAAGCAACGATTGTTATTTAGCATATATATGGCGAAAAGAGGTCACTGTGCGCAAGGTAATTGATCTTTCACGAGTGCGATATTATGCGTCTTTAATTAAGAATGACTAACTAGCACATAGTATTTTTGCCTCGTGTAATAAACAAAGTTTTAACTTACAATCCCATTAAAAATGACATATTTTCTTACTGTAAGCGTGTACACTACTGCTGTTATACACGTAGTTAATTCTGAAGTACATTTCATAACGTCGACTATAATGGAGCCAGTAAATGTGTCATTTTATCTACTGCAGGAAGTTTTATTATTTTGAAATATACATAATGATCAATTTACATCTACTCCTAACATGCTATACATAAACATAAAGCGTGACGGAATAAGGTAAAATCTTTCAATTCTTTCATCAGACTGTTCACTCTTCCTTTAGAGATGTGACACTCGGATTAAAAATATATGTTTTCCATGATATTTTATTGATCGCGTGAAGCATTCCTCGTTTACATTTTTGGCTGGATTAAAAATTCCTGATATTTACTGATCTTTCTCATAGCCTGCCTTCGGCACGTAATAAAATTTTACGAATAAAACAAATGCTCACATATTTAGATTTTTAGATGCATATAAAAACTTGGCAGTATCTTCACATTCCTATCTTAATTTAGTTTTACAAATGAGATTACAAAATCAAGAAAAATTTGATCTTAACCTACTTAAAGCTGTATTTAACATATTATTATATTTACCGGTTGGTCATAAACCTTTATCTGGCGTGCCGTGACGATAAAATTGGTTATAAAAAAGTCCTAGGAAATCGTGTTTGGATAGTCGTTTTTGTCATTTCCTTACGGCTTCAACAACCATGCAATTTCCTCTGTAGTTTCCAATCTCCAGGAGACAGAAGTTTGGGTCTCCGGGAGAATTTAATTCCCAACAGTTCTCGAAGCGCGATCGACGAAATGTCTATCGGGGCGCCTTAAGGGGAACATTTTGCCTTAGTTGAGGAGGATGGATCAGTCTGTTGTGGCTGCACGAGACAAGATGGCACAGCGACGAGGTAATTAATGTAAATTTTGAGGTTATCTATAGTTGAAGGTTAACCAGAATTCCCATTTTGTAGAAAAAAGCGGATAAATTGTTGGTTGTAGATATGTTGACATCGGTTTCATATTAGGAAAACGACTTCTACGTGGTATAAATTAAGTCAAGGAACGCAGTAATATTGATTCCTTCATGAAAAGAAAATTATTTCAGAGTAGAGAGATACAAATGTTAATTCATTTTTTGTGCAACAAAAATTAATCTTTAGTTTCAATTACAATTTTATATTAAATTGGTATTAACTTTCCAAAAGTGAAAATGTGACGAAAAATCTAAAATCGGTTTGGGGTGATGAATTTTTCACATAATTTAATTTAATTGTCATATGAATGGCTTAAGGTAGTGATAATATGGAGATACGCCAGCATGAGCAAGCCGTTCTTCGAAATTGTTAATATATTGATTGTTCTTGACATATAGCCTCTTATTACTATTATGTATCTTGTTAATATTTATGATGGGCTTGGGGCAGAACAAGTAGACAATTAGACCAAAATCGAGTTATTAATATTAGCGGAAGGCTTGCTGTGGTTGGTGTGGATTATCTTTCTACCCCATATTTATTCATATATATTTTTGTTATTTTTGCAATTTTCGTGGGGTTGCTGGTGGCAATCATTGGTTTCACCAGAGAACCTGTATATACGTATATGTCTCTCCGCCATTTTGAATTCTCGCCTGAGACATGCAAGGAATCTGCTGTAAACACACCATTATGCGATTAACCATATTCAACTCGCAATAGTTTACAACATAGTAGTATATATACCGTAACGTAATATATTATCTTAGTGTTTTACAATTTTAAAACGGTATTATTTGACAAGACACTCACTAAATAATGTAACTATTCTCAATTAATATGTGCATGTGGTGGGAGGATAAAATCAGAAGGCTAATGTAAAGCTAGCGTAGAGGAAGCTTAGGAGAAAGATAAAAGTGAACTGTAAACCGCCTTTTCTCTTTTCGGGTGTGTATTTTAAGACGAAGGTTTTTTCCGATGTGTATTTTTTAGAAGCGTTTTCTTTTCAGGGCAAGCGTAGCATGCTAAAAGATCGATTTTTAGTACTTGTGTCAAACGAGATGTGATGCTCAAATGTTCAGATAAATCTGTGAATGTAACGAAGAAAACAAAATACATTCGTCAGGCCGCATCAGTTAGTAAAATATAAGCATGTAACATAGTGTGTGGATTCTTGTATTAAAATAAAATGAAAGACAGAAAGGCTGTCTAAAAGTAGTAAGTAGTGTATGGTACACGTGTCGGAAGTTATTTTATTTTGCTCGTAGAAATGTGCTACTCGGCATATTGACATCTTTCCCACTCGCAAAATAAAATGTCACTTTTACCTCTCCTATCATAAATAACTATTATGTAAACGAGATAGTCGCCCAAATTAACTGATAAACACATGTAAAAAATGAAATATAATTTGAACGAGGCTAAAGTGTTGTAGTGAAGCTAATTTTATTTGGCTACAGCGCAAGAAGTACATTTGATGTTAAGTTGAATCCATAGAAAAACAAGAAAAGTGATGCAAGGTAACAACTGAAAAATACACTGAAGTTTTGTGATAAGAGAAGAGTAAAACTGAGTGTTTTATGTAGTATGTTCTGATTCGCATCCAGCTACCTCTTCAAATTGCTTCTTGCTAGTACAAAAAAATAATTTCGACACAGTATTCAGCTGCTACGCCATACTGCAGCTGTCAATGAAGAGTCCAACTAGGCGGAGATGACTTCTAGTACATACTTTTATGTCTGTGTCACACAAGCATTGCTCTGACGCGCGTCGTAGATTAACACAGTATTTTATGCAAAACGGTCAAAGCGTTCGTGTGCAGTTTCATATAAGATAATAATAATAATAATAATAATCATAATCATAATAATAATAAAATTCAGCCCCATGGCGCTAGACGGCTGCGGAGCTGTCGTCTGCATCGAGGAGACTGCAGGATCGAGTCCTGCGTAGGCATGGTCGTTTTCAAGTCCCTTTCCCCCTCGTTATCATCGTATCACCTCATTATCCGTAATTCAAGGCGTAACAAAATTGTCTTATCAAGGGATACAGCTATAAAAAGCTGATCACCATAATTACACACGTTAATCTCTCCGGGGTCTCGGAAGATAACGTGTAGCTTGGTCATAAATAGTCGATACGCAAATAATAATAATAATAATAATAATAATAATAATGTCTTTATTAATGGCGATTAGCCCTTCCCTTCCGCCTATACACAGATTCTACATTAATTCTTATTTTTCATAAATTAAACACGGATTCTGCTTTAATACAGACATTCAAGAGAGAGAGACTTGGTGTACATTTATGATTGGTATTGCAAAACAAGGAAACATTGCCATCGCCATCGCCTTATCCCTTAAGCGATCGAGTAAACAAGATACCGTGTTATTGAACAACGCGCGTCAACGCAACGCTCGTGTGCAGGAGCCCTCAAAGCCGCAGCAATACTCACGGATGTTTAGGGCCTGGCGCCGCTGGGCGCGCTGGAGCGCTTCTGGCGGCGCTTCAACGGCGCGCTGCTGGGGGTGGCGGGGCTGCGCGTGCAGCGCGGGGAGCTGGTGGCGGAGGTGCGCGGGCTGCGTCGGGCGCTGCGCGGCTGCCTCGCCGCCCTGGGGCCCGCCACCTCCACCTCCATCTCGGCCTCCCCCGCCT